TTCGTTCGAGCAATGTTTGGTCTGCAATCGACTGACAGTTTTAGGCCGTATTTTGTTCGGTATGGCGCCTTAAAACTTACGTCACTATACACACTAGAGGTGGCTTTATTAGTACTAAAAAAATCTGACCTATTTCAGCGCCTATCTGACGTTGAACACAAACTCTCTTGATTTCATTTTTTTTTTTTAATTCTTTGAAATCGTCTTTTATGTAGACTCTAAAGTCATAGATCAACACACGCAAAAGACAATTTCTGTTTTGTCAAATAGTAAGCAAATAAATAAAAAAAAAACAAACCCATACAAAATCTATGATATGCCTGTGCCGATCTACAACCGCCCGTTTCCAAGGCGTTGAGCCTTATGAGAAAAAAAGGGCAAACAAACTCATGGCCACTCTTTTGCAATAAGTTGTAAAAAGAAACAGGCGCAACGACATTAGATTCAATTGAATTCAATTAGTTTATTGCACTCCATAATGTACAACGCGTTTGTGACTCCTGAGTTGCAGACGTTCATGGGCGGCGATGGTCACTTTCCATCGGGTGACCCGTCTGCTCGTCTGTCTGCACTAACATAAAAAACAAAAAAAAAACATCACAAAGGTCCTATAAATATAGAAAGAAACAATTATGAACCCTGTCGGAGATTGTACTTTCACAGCCCTAAAACAAGGATGAGCAAAACTTTGTCATGTATTGCGTCAAAAATTATAATAAACTGCCATCTTTTTTTTATCGAATAGGGGTCAAAGGAGCAGACGCGTCACCTGATGGAAAGCGACTACCGCCGCCCATGAACGCCTGCAACTCAGAAGTCACGTTGCCAGCCTTTGAGGAAGGAGTACGCTCTTTTCTTGAAGGTTTGAAGTTCGTATCGGTCCGGAAATACTGCAGCGGATAACTTGTTCCACAGTAAAAAAAATATATAGACTCATTTAAAAATTATTATAGTGTCATTGACTTTATGACTAACAGTACTATATAAAAAAAAGAAATAATTGTTTTGATATGAAATTTCTGACATTTGTTTACTATAATTATTTTTTTGTTTTAATATGTTTTGTTACGAAGTCTCAGGTACCACTACAGCTATAATACTGAGGAGGTTGATCAAATGTCCTTCGATAGTTTTTGCGTAAAAAGTACCGTTTGTAATAATAGTAGGACGAGGATTAGTTTTTTTAAGGTATTGATGACAAAAGAGTAGATAAGGAACGTGATTGCAAATGACATCCAAGGATATCTACTGCAGATACTGATGAGTCACAACTGCTATATTTATTTCTGAATGCTCGGATGGCGTAGTGGTTTAAGCGTTCGCCACGCCGCTCACTACTACGCTGAGTGTTGTGGGTCCGATCCCCACTCGGGATCCCCACTTTGTGAGATTCACAAATTGTTGTTCTGAGTCTGGGTGTTCTTTGTGTCCGTTTCATGGGTTTGTAAAGTCCTCCGTGACACAGGATATATTCCTAATGCGGGAGTTGTCTTTACAAAAAAAAAAAACAAAGAAACCCAAGTTACACTCTTTTGCTTTCGGACAGGATTCTTCCATTTTTTCTGCCTTTGTCGTGCGAATACTACGTGGATGACCAAATCTTTTTCCCTATTATAATATCAGCGCTACACTTCCTCAGGCTGCAGCAATATGTTAAGATAGGTGACTTTACTGGGATTGCATATGGCAATTTTTTTTTCATTGTACCATATCATGTGCAACTGTCCTGTGAACGTCAGAATACATATTTTTTGTTCTTCTTTCTGTATGAAACTTTAATTTCATCAATATCATCAATTATATCGTTTTACTAAAAACAACATAAGAAAAAGCAAAATCAAAATAGCTAATCGGGAAAGCTGATCAAGCGTGTTAAGGGTTGTAGCGGGGTAATATTTAGGTTTAAAAGAAAATACGGCAAATTAACAAGGACTGACTTGTACTGTGCTTTCGATACAAATTTAAAGTGACGAATAAGAAGGGTGACTGAAAGCTATTCACGATGCACGACGAAGCTGCAATTTAATGCAATTCCTGCGAGTGCTATATTTTATTAATAGGCGCTTTTCGAACAATGTTAACAAAACTTTGGAAAATATGAAATGCTTTTCAATGGGATCGATTTTTCTGATCCCCAAAGGTATCTTAATACTTTAATTCAGCCAAGCCATGTCGGGCGACTTCGGTCTCGCCGACTTGATAGAACATATAGTTCAAAAAGTACATAACATCTCAGTTCAGCGTGCCCGCGACTGACGACCAGTAGTCACGAGACTGTTTTTTAGGGGGCAGACGAGCAGACGGGTCACCTGATGGAAAGTGACCATCGCCCATGAACGTCTGCAACTCAGGAGTCACAAACGCGTTGCCGGCCTTTTAGGAAGGAGTACGCAGTCGCCAAAAATGGATTGTGACCGCGGAGTACAACTATTTTATTATAATGGATGCTGGATTACTTGATGTAGTTTCTAACCGTCCGTCAATGTTTTCCTTTTTCTATCTTTTTGATGTCATCAATTCGTAAAATAAAATTTTCTAACAATTAAAAAAATATACCATATCCATTTTCGCTCTAAGTATTCGCTTCACGAAACCAAACAATAAGTATGTTCAGTACTAACCCCAAAGAGGTAACTAAATTATGAATTGCCATCAATCAGTCGCTAGTAATTGCTCTACGCTGGTCGCCCACGCGCTGCACTGTTTTTAACCGACTTCAAAAATACAAAAGTACGTTTACGTACGACCGGCAATTAAAGGTCATAGCCCATTACACCCACCACACATCTGACCAGCACCGCCTCGACTCGGTGTCAACTCGTAGTCGACGGGTGGTCCACAGGTGGACTCCGCGTCGTAAACCAGGAAAGTACGCTCGAGGGGGGCTGTGCCGCCGATGTACTGTCCTCGCGCATAGACAACGTCCGGTCACCTAGTGGTCACACGTCAACACACGGGCGGGGCGCTCCGGAGTTGATGTAGTGAGCGTTTACCCATGATACTCCATACAAAGAATACTAACCACTCAAGGCGAAGCGGTGCTGGTCGAATGCCGGGTAGCACTAATGAGATATAACCTTAATTCTCCTCAAGGGTAAGGTCTCCAGTCACCACCAGGAGTGATGACCTCATAGAAAACTGGTGGTAAGCAATTCTTTTGTTAATTTTCACTGAGCGAGTGATTACTAGAGGACTAACCTCCCCCCTTTACTCCCCCAATCTCTTAGGCCGGCGTTTTTCGTAGCTGAAAGTTGCACGAGCACTAATATTTTGTTAATCTATTTTGGTTATTTATTTGAAAACATTAGTATGTGTATAAGCAGTCCGGCTATCGTAGTATCGACTCTGTCTGGTTTGGGTTTAGAGGGCCTTGTGCCTCAAGTAGATATTGGAGACTTTCAGAGTTAATAATGACTAATTTTGACCGGTGACCCAAAAAAAAAAAACAATACTTATTGTTTAACCATGCAAGAGATTTGTAACAAAGAACCTAACCTATTATCTTTTTCGTTACTGCCGTGTGAGTTACAAATTGTATTTAAATGTACATTCAAGGGCTTTCGGATAACAATATAAAGAAGTCGGCTATGTTGATCAGTTTTCATTTTGGTCGGTAGTTTGTCATCAGTTGGTGAGTGGCTCCTTGTTTTACAAAATAAAGTAATCTGTAAAAAATAACAAAGAAAATTTACATCTCGAGTGTCAAAATTTTAAGGTTTTTTTAGACTATTTAACGTCACGTAAGTTCTCACAAAAATATCTGTTAAACTTGGTACAAAATTGTGTTACTTACAGTAATCTACAACTCTCCATATTACTGCATAAAACAGCTGCTTTCAAAAAGTAGTTTCCACTAAGTGGCCTCAAAGACATGGAACGTGACATCGTTTGCACAGATGGCGTAGTGGTCTAAGCGGTCGCCACGACGCTTCGTACTTCGACACTTGTGTGATCCTGGGTGTTTCTTGAGTGCGTTTCATGTATGTTTGTAAAGTCCCCCGCGACACATTACGTGGATATATTCCTAGTGCTGGAGTTGTCTTTTAAAATGATCGTTAAATACATTGACCTTCAAATATAGATTGCGACAGTATCTCATAAACGCTCACCGGAGACTGAAGAGTGGATAGCGCATGCTGGTGAGCGCTATCTAAGTAAAAGAGTGTCAACTTTATTATGATTTATGTTATTGTGTATATTATAATGTATGTATATTAGCATGATTTGCTTATCTGTAATTTATCTCGTTATATTTGCATATAGTGTAGTTACTAATGACGACCGAATGGCGTAGTGGTTTGTGTAACGGACTGCTATTCCAAAGGTCGCGGGTTCGATTTCCGCTCAAGTCAAACATTTGTGTGCATGAACATTTAATGTTTGATTTGGTCTGGGTACTTTTTTTTTGTAAATACATACTTATTATACATAGAAACATATAATAAGTATGTATTTACAAAAAAAAAAGTATATATGTATTTATATCAGTGGTCTAGTACCCATAGTACAAGCTCTGCTTAGTTTGGGACTAGATGGCGTTGTGTGAATGTGGTAAAAAAAAAAAAAACTATAGTCAGAGAACAGTATTCCATATACGGCCGGATTTGCGCCTAATAGAGTTCGAGGCGGTAGGTTGGAAATACGTCCTCGATCGGTTCAGCATACCGAGCTTCTTCGAGGCTAATTTAACCTTATACTCTAAATGACTCCGAAACTGGACTGCGCTCAGTATGTCTATGCCTAGGATTCCAACACTGGCTGAGGCAGTTAGGGAGATGCTCTCAAATCGCGGTGATACAGCAAACGATATCTTTTTGCCGGTGAACGGTTTTTTGGGTTAAAATAGACTAAATTCAGTTGACCTCAATCTGAGACCTCCGCTATGTAAGTTTCAATTTCAGACAAAAGTTTGTTTCGAAGAAATATTGGGACGGAATAAAAAAGACAGCGCCCGTACTATTATCTGCATACCAATGGATAAATTTTAGAGTTCTAGCTCCATGGATCCAGCAAAGGAAGTCGAAGACCACTTGCTGTCGCTTCTGAAGCCTGTTAATATTGCTATCGATCGTGGTGACTCCGCCATTCAACAGTTCTACCGCAATGCCACGATTTTTCTCACGGGTGGCTCCGGTTTTATTGGGAAGCAATTAGTAGAAAAGCTATGCAGGTAAATCAGTCTTCTATCTTTAACTGTAGATACATATATCATATTCGTCCGTGTGGTGACGGATTAAAAATTCGGAGGGTCACTTAATTCATCCTATGGATGTCGTAAGAGTCGACTAAGTAAAACTTGACACAAAACCCTATACCAATCAGTTTCACCAGCGTTTTATGTTGATGATGAATTCTGCTATTGTGGGGAAAAGGGTGTTATGTTCAACGCACAGGGAGGATCCTTAGACCAAGTGGGGCAATAATGCCTTTAAGGTAGATGTTAGAAAGTTATACTTTGACTTAAGTTATACGTATCGTTGTATGCCGTGGAAGTGGGTGCGAGGGGTATACCAATTAAATCCCTCTATAATCTGCTTAAAAATTTATTGGATTGGTAAGAGATTCAGGAAGCTCTTTTCTTAAACGAATATCCAAAGCGGCATTGACACATTCGCACTGACGCGTCGCAAGGAGTACTCCCAAAACCTACTCCTGGGTTGCAATTCCCAGGCTCTGTCGAAGTTGCACGAGCAGGATCAGTATTTATTTCGTTTGTTTATTAGTGTTGAAGTATATGGAAGTAGCCACATTATCTATCAATATAAACAAAATGAATTGTCAAATGTTTTGCTAAGTGCAAAACTCGAGAACGGCTCTACCAAATCGGTTTATTTATTTTTCATATTATCTTTAAGGTACATAAAAGGTTCTTATATAGAAAAAAACAAAGTGAAAATTGTGAGTAAAATATTCAAATCATCACTTTTCTTTTCCCATATATCATCATCAACCAACAGCCTTTAATAGTCCACTGCTGGACATACGAATAGGCCTCTCCTTAGAAAGGAGGTTTTGGCCTACTATACCACGCTGGCCAGACGGGTTGGTATAGGGTTTCTTGGGGTGCTAGCTAGAAAACCTCCCCGTGGTGCACCCTGGAAACGCTGGCGATGGTACTGTTTCCTCCTTGTCCTCTTGGAGGAGAGGATTATCGCCAGCGGCCAATATTCTAGCAGAAGAGGCAGCCGTTCATCGGCTCTCGGGCAAGGCCTGGTCCAGCAGGGTGGGCGTGTCTGCCGGTTGCCCTGCTGGCTCTTCGCTCTTCGGAGCATGGAGGAGGAAACCTCGGTAAAAAACCTGATGGCGGGGCCCTGTAGGGGCCACAGTTTCTCCGCTGACAGCGGTGGAGAAAGGAGGACGGGCTCGGCGTGTACTCACACTACCACCGAGCAGGCAGGGGGACGTAGTCTCCCTGTCAACCGTCGGCATATCGTAATCCCGAGAAGAGCGCTGTGGTTAAGTCTCGCGGCTCTGATCGGGGGCGAGGGTCTTGGCTTAACCGCCCGGACCGCGAGGAAGATAACCTCTCTAAAAAATTCCCCGAATCCCGTGTTCTGGTGCGTGGCCAGGGGATGCATGGCTGATGGGAAGTTCAGTCGCGAGCGCACTCCAAGCCGAGGTACCTGCGGACCCCTCGGTTGGGTTAAAAACTTACGCTTGCCCGGGTAATGGGGGATCTCTGCCCGGGTGGACCTTTAGTTCTCCCCCACTCGTGGGATTATTATGGAAAATGTTAATTTGAACAAACAGAAAACGATCGGAAAGAAAAACACACAACAGACAAAGGCAAGCCTAACGGACAAGGAGACGAAGAGGAAGAACAGTGGAGTGGATGGGTCGTCCACTGAGGGCGAGATGGTGTCAGGAACGCCTATCTCGATGGGGCTCCCAGAGGTCAGTCTGACTCTGATCTCTGGGAGCCGAAGAGCATCGGATCGGCTGCGTTCCGGATCCGCCGCTTCGTCGGATGGCGCGGAGGCCATGGAAGCGGAGCGGAGCGACAGCCGGAAACGCGGACGCTCCAGGGAGGAGGGAACCGACACGTCCGGCGAAATGATGCCACCAAAGGTGGCAAGCAGCCGCCGAGGGAGGGCGCGTAAACCGGCCTCGGCCTCGGTCTCGACCCCGTCAGGCTCCGCGTTCTCAAACGCGGAGTCCTACAGGAGCGTACGAGTGGACGGCGAGGCCGTAGCGGAGGAGGAGATCGCGGATCTCCTGCTCAAGGTTCGGGAGCCGGTGGGGGGAAATGCCCCCCAGGCTCCCGTGTCCGTGCAGGAGAGGGCGAAAGCGGCGGTGGCCGTCATTCACAAGGTGGCCACCAAGTCCGTGAACCTTAAGGGCTCGTTTGTGAGGGCCCTTAAGGACTCCTCCTCCGCTTTGTCGGAGGTCGTGGAGGGCCTAGTGGGCGACGTTTCGCGCCTACAGGTGGCCAACGAGAGGCTGACGGAGCGGGTGAATGAGCTGAGTGCTCAGTTCGCCCGCTTCCAGGCGAACCTCCCCGAGCGGGAAGCCCCGTCCGCGTCCCAGCCTGCCCCTACCACCAACTCAGGGGCATTTGACTCCCAACTGCGAGAAATCCTCATCGCAGTTGGGAATATGCTGGACGGACGCCTGGCTGGCCTGGAGGCGCGACTGCCCCCTGCGCCAATTATGCGCCCCCCGCTCGCGTCGGCACAGCGGCCTAAGGCCGCCGCTCCGACCGCGCTCCCCGTTGTGGGAGGCCGCGTTTCTTACGCGGCGGCGGCGTCTGCCCCTACTCCATCGGCTCCACAAAAGCCGAGGAGGGGGGCCAAGGCACCGGCCCAGGCGCCGGCCAAGGCACCGGCTAAGGCGCCGGCCAAGGCACATCTCCAGGCGCCGGCCAAGACGGGGCCTAAAACGGCGCCGAGGAGCGGAGTGGCATTCCCTCCGCTCCCCACTCCGACACCCCTGCCGGGCCCCTCCGCACCTGCCCCCTCCAACGAGGGTTGGCAGGAGGCGAGGGGGCTCCAAGAAGTCCCGAAGGCGGGCCAGAAAGGCTGCCCAAAAAGCAGCCCAAGCCCAGCCTTCGCCACCGGTGGCAACGGCCTCTGCAAAGAGGCCGCGGAAGCTGCAGCCGCCCAAAACCGCGGCTGTAGTTGTGACCTTGTCCCCGGAGGCGGCCGACGGCGGGCTGTCCTATGCGGCCGTCTTCAAAAAGGCCCGGGACAGCCTCGCCAACGAGTTTGGGACGGTGGGGGTCAGGATGCGCCTCGCCCAGACGGGAGCTCGAGTTCTCGAGTTCCCTGGGGCTGAAGGCGCAAAGACGGCGGACTCCTTCGCTGAGAAGCTGCGGGGAATATTTGCAGCCACAGATGGTGTCAGGGTCGCCAGGCCTACCAAGTGCGCGGAACTGCGCATCTCGGGCCTGGACGACTCAGTGACGGCCGAAGATGTCCGCGCTGTAATCCGGGAGAAGACGGGGTGCAGCGCGGACAACGTCAGGGTCGGCACCATCCGCCCCGGTCCAGGAGGGCTTGGCGCCGTGTGGGTCAGCTGTCCCGTAGCGTCGGCCAAAGTATTGGCCGACGCAGGCAGGCTGCTCATCGGTTTCGTGAGCGCCAGGATCACAGTCCTGGCGGCGAGACCGATGAGGTGTTTTAAATGCCTGGCCGCGGGACACACGCGCGTCAAGTGCGACAGTTGTTTTGACTGCGGCGGACTGTGTTTCCGCTGCGGTCAACCGGGGCATAAGGCGGCAGAATGCTCTGCCGCCCCTCACTGCCCAGTGTGTGCGGCGGGCAATAAGCCCGCCAATCACCAGATGGGGCAGAGAGGCTGCAAGCCTCCCCGCAGTTCTCGGCAGACGTCGGGGGTTAGCCAGTCGACCCAGGCTGCCTCCGATGTAGTTCGTGCGTCGACGTCGTCGCCCATGGAGGAGGTTGTAGAGACGATCCAGTAATGGATCAAGTCTCCAACCTCCTGGTCCAAACGAACCTGAACCACTGTGCCGCGGCGCAGGATCTCTTCCTGCAAACCATGGCACAGTGGTCGATAGGTGTTGCCGTAGTCGCGGAGCCCTATTCTGTCCCTCCCCGTCCAAACTGGATGGGTGACTGGGACGGCTCCGTGGCAGTCGTCGGTTCCACGACGGCTCATTCCCCGCCCTTGTCGCTAAGAGACAAGGGCACTGGATATGTTGCCGTCGAGTGGGGGGGGATCACCATATATGGTGTCTATTTCTCCCCCAACCGGAGTTTGAACGACTTCGAGGTTTTCCTAACCAGCTTGGAGACCTCGATACGGCGACTAGCGTCTGGGCACGTCCTTGTGCTGGGGGACTTCAACGCAAAGTCCATTGCGTGGGGTTCCCCCAGGGCGGACGCCAGGGGCGAGGCCGTAGAGGAGTGGGCGGCCTCGGTGGGCCTCTGTCTTCTAAACAGAGGCTCCACCAACACGTGCGTGCGACAGCAGGGGGGGTCGATAGTGGACCTTTCGTTCGCTACCCCTGCCCTCGCCGCACGAGTAAGGAACTGGTGTGTCCTGGAAGAGGTTGAGACGCTCTCGGATCACCTGTATATCCGATTTGAGCTCTCCCGGACCCAGGACTCCAGTAGGGGTCACGTGGCGCGGCGTTTATCCCGCTTTCCGCGGTGGGCTGTTGCCAGACTGAACCGGGACCTACTAGAGGAGGCAGCCATAATTCACTCGTGGCTGTCTCCTCAGGCTCCGACCGAGGAGGTCGACGTGGGGGCTGGCCGCTTTCGCGATGCGATTACGCATATCTGCGATGCGGCCATGCCCCGCGTTCGAGGTCGTCGGCCTCCAAGGAAGGAGGTCTACTGGTGGTCCCAGGAGCTGGCGGACCTCCGTGCGGCCTGTACACGTGCCCGGAGGTCCTACACACGCAGTCGGCGGCGTCACCGTGGAGACGGTGAGGAGGACCGGCTTCATGAGGAGTACCGGCGGGCGCGGAAAACTCTGAAGCTGGCCATTAGCCGCGCCAAAGAGGAAAAGAGACAGGAGATGCTGGAGGGTCTTAATCGTGACCCCTGGGGTCGCCCTTACCGCGCGGTGCGACAAAAGCTCCGCGCGTCGGGCCCCCCCCTTACGGAGACTCTCCAGCCCAGCTTCCTGCAGGAAGTGGTCGAGGGCCTATTCCCGCAGCGGGCGGAGCACACACCCCCGTCAATGGCTGCATCAGCCGGAGACGACGGGGTCAGCGAGGTCGATGTTCCGCCCGTCAGGGAATCGGAGTTGGGGGCGGCTGTTCTACGGATTCGATCCAAGAACACCGCCCCCGGGCCGGACGGGGTTCCAGCCCGAGTGATGGCCCGAGCCCTCGACTACATGTCGGACCACCTCAGGGGGGTGTTGGACGCTAGCCTGGCGTCCGGACGCTTCCCTGAGTGCTGGAAATGCGGGAAGCTGGTCCTGCTGCAGAAGCCAGGACGGCCTGCCGATTCGGTCGCGGCCTATAGGCCCATCGTGCTGCTGGACGAGGCGGGCAAATTGTTTGAGAGGGTTCTTTCTGCCCGCATCGTCCGGCACCTCTGCGAGGTGGGCCCCGATCTGTCGGACGCCCAATTTGGTTTTCGGGCGGGGCGTTCGACAGTCGACGCCGTGTTGCGCCTGAGGGCCGTGACCGAAGAGGCAGTGAGCTGTGGCGGCGTGCTGTTGGCGGTGTCATTAGACATCGCCAACGCATTCAATAGTCTGCCATTCAGCTGCATCAGGGAAGCACTCCACTATCATGGGGTGCCAAAGTACCTGAGGCGGCTAGTGGCAGACTACTTAGAGGAGCGTACCGTCGTGTACGAGGACCGAGAAGGTAATTTGAGGAGTCGGCCCATGTCGTGCGGTGTTCCACAGGGGTCTGTTCTTGGACCCCCTCTTGTGGAACATAGGGTACGACTGGGCCCTTCGCGCCGATTTCCCCCCCGGGCTGGGTGTAATCTGTTACGCAGACGATACCCTCGTGACAGCCCGGGGGGCAAACTTCCAAGAGGCGGCGCGCCTGGCCACAGGGGGAGTCTCCCTGGTGGTCGGGCGCATTGAGGCGCTGGGCTTACGGGTGGCCCTAGATAAGACGGAGGCCCTGTTATTCCATGGGCCCCGTCGTGGTCCACCCCCTGGCGCCTCAATCGTGGTCAACTCGGTCCTCGTACCGGTTCGGGCCCAGATGAAATATCTGGGCCTGATCCTCGACGGGAGGTGGCTCTTCGACGAGCACTTCCGACAGCTTGCTCCAAAGCTGGTCGGCGCTGCGTCTGCCCTAGGGCGACTTCTGCCCAATATGGGTGGACCCAGCGTCGCGACAAGACGGCTGTACACGGGGGTTGTCCGGTCAATGGCACTGTACGGTGCACCGGTGTGGGCGGCGGCTCTGACCGCCCAGAATAGGGTACGCCTCTGGCGCCCTCAGAGGGTAATGGCGGTTAGAGCCATACGCGGTTACCGCACCGTTTCGACGGAGGTGGCATGCGCATTGGCCGGAACTCCCCCGTGGGATTTGGAGGCGGAAGTGCTCGCCGAAGTTTATCGGCGAGTGGCTGACTTCCGGGCGGAGAGCGGATTTCGCCCTCCGCCCGAGGATGTGCGCGAGTGGCGCGAAGCCGCTCGCCGAGCCACGATGGCTCGTTGGTCGTTCCGGCTGGAGACTCCACGCGCTGGCTTCGCCGCCGTGGAGGCTCTCCAGCCGGTCATCGCCGAGTGGGCAGGGCGGCAGCACGGGACCCTTTCCTTCCGGCTGACGCAGGTGCTTTCCGGGCACGGTTGCTTCGGAAAGTACCTGCACACGGTCGCAAGGAGGGAACTGAGTCCCGCCTGCCACCACTGCGACTGCAGTGAGGACTCGGCCCAGCACACGCTGGCGGTCTGCCCCGCATGGGCGGCGCAGCGTCGGGCCCTCACTGCAGTCATCGGAGTGGATCTCTCGCTACCGGCCGTAGTACGCTCCATGGCCGGTAGCGACAGTTGTTTTACCGCGGTCGCTACCTTCTGCGAGGTAGTAATCTCGCGGAAGGAGGCGGCGGAGAGGGCCCGGGAGGACGACCTCCACTCGGACCCGATCCGCCGCCGGCGAACCGGGCGGCGGAGGCCCGCCTACCACAGCCTCATGCCGCCCTGAGTGTGGCCGCGGGTGGACGGGGTGGGTTTCCCCTCCACCCGCATTAGTTTGGCCAGCCGCGAGGGGGCGGCGTCCGCGTGTGCCGGACGTCGCCTATAAAGAGAGGAAAAAACACTGAGACGGAGCCCGCACAAGGAGCGGGCTGGCGCTAGGAGGGGTCCGGATGTCTTAACAACAGCTGTTCCCGGATCCCTCCTGTTACAGGCGCAGAGTGGCACACCGTGTGGTTTTAGTCGGTCCGAGTCCGACACACCACCCCGCCGCAAACCCCGGAGGGGTGACGGTCCGAGGGGATTTCCACACGTTAAAAAAAAAAAAAAAAAAAAAAAGGGTTTCTTTCAAGTTTTCCTTCTCTTTGCAGTGCTGTTGTTGTGCGTAGTTTGCTCCCTTAGTCGGCTCTTACGACACCCACGGGATAAACAGAGGTGGTGTCAATCCGTATTCTTAATCCGTCACTACACGGACATACATAAGACAAAATAAATTAAGGTACTTTACTCTAGCTCCTAAACATTTTACGTTAACAAAAAAAAAAAACGTGTTATGATTATTTATATATTTAAAACTTTATGCACATGTTGTACAAAGGCGGACTTAATGCCATGAGGCATTCTCTCGAAGTCGACCTTCAGGTGATGTAGAAATATGATGCAGTAGGTGCAAGGATAAAGTCGTATTAAGTAGTTAGTTCATAATTGTTTAGTAAATGAGAGATAAACCTACATTAGATATAACTAGTATACATAAATACATTGCTACATATATTATTATACTTACCATGGAAGCCCATAATACATATATACAATACATACACACTATATGAACATGCACATCCATAAATTTCAAATTAGAATATATAAAAATACACAATCGGGCATTAGCGTTGTGACTTTTCTGCCAATTCATTCCAAGTTCGTTTAATTTTTTTCTTGAATGTTGACTGCGGCCAGGAGCGCATTCTAAAGAAAAACTGACTGCACATAGAAGACTGATTATCTTTAATACCTATGCCTTCAAGTAGATTAAGCTAGATGCCTGCCTAATATATGCCTGCAAAAATACAGTTCGAAAAAAAGGGGATCACTAAGAAACAACTACGTTTTTTTTCAATTGGACAACAGGCCAATATATTAAATATCCAATAACTTTTTACAGAACGAATCTGCCGGCACAGATAGTTATTATAAAGAAAGGTGAACTGTGAACTTGTAGCAAATAAACAAACAACACGGACACTGGTCAATACACTGACAGAATTGGGAAATCTGACAATTTATTTATTTAACATTTCAGGTCATGTGAAATAACGAAAATATATTTGCTGATGCGACCAAAAAAGAATAAGACTATTCAACAACGACTCAAAATTATACTGAATGATCCTGTAAGTACCTATTTTTTCTAGAAATAAATGCGTCAATGACTGGTAAACAAGATAAGCTGTTTAAGAGTTTGAGAACCTGTATTTGAAGATCATTTATATTAAACTAAGCCTTTAAACCCGACACTGGTTGCGATGTACTATCAACTTTAGTAAAACCAGACAGTTACAGTAAAGTACTTTCTAAAAAAAGATTATCAGCCAAACACCATTAATAATAATAATAATAATAACTTCACACATCTCACACACGGCCGTCTGATTCCAAACTAGGCAGAGCCTGTGCTACGGTAACCAGACTGCTGATAAACATACTTATATATTTTTAAATACATACATATTATAGATAAATGGCACCCAGACATCACCGTGACCGTACTCATCACACAATATTTATCCTGGGTGGGAATCGAACCCACGACCTCCGGCTTAGCAGTCAGGGCCACTAACCACTAGACCAACAGGCCCGTCATTTTGTTGAACTAACGTCGTCTTAAGGTTAATTCGTTTTAAATTTTATCTAGTGTATCAAAGAATCTAGGATATTGAATTTACAATTTAGGATTGGTTTGTTTCTTTATAGTTAAACAATTGAATTATATTAAATACGTTTTGTTTATGTGATACAGTGACACCAATGACTTGTACGTGTTATATCTTTAAGTAAACTTAGAATCTTGAAAATTTATGTTTAAATAAGGGTTTTCGGAAATGTTCCACGGGAGATGGCAGCACTGTAGCGTCAGGTCCAACCACCTGTCAAAACACATACACGATTTGTATTTTTCGATCATTTTTTTGGTTTATTCATTCTTAAAAACGTTACAAAAGGAATACTGATTTCTAAAATTCTACAGTATTGTGCAGTGCCTATGTGTGTAAATAAAACTTTTGAGCCTCTCTCTTTGAGCTCAATCTTCAGTTCGGCAACCTTTCTCTGGCCGTAATCTATAATAAACTCAATAACACTTCCAAATTCATAGAATTTTACTAAAATATTATACGTTCGGTAAGAATCTGTGCTATCTGACAGCTGTTTGGACCTGACGCATACGAAGTGCCGTCTGGTGGCAGAAAAAGTATCGTAGACCCTCATTCTGTCTTGACGTCTGACCTTAACGTCTGAAATTATCTTATATATCGCATCCTTTGTCTGCGATTTCCTGAATTTATTTCTGATAGGTGCAATGTGTAATATTAGTGTGACTACACAATGCTGACATCCTTGGACTTGGCTTACCAGCAACCGAAATTACTAGTATTCCCGTTTACCCCTCCAGCTAAGGTAAATTGCTTGTGTTAGGAGTGGGTTCGAGTGGGTCAGGATTCGAGCTCACGACCTCTTGATTGCAAGTCCAATGCCTTAACCACTAGGCTACCGCCGCTTTGTTTGGATAGTGAGTCGTAAATATAAAGTACAGAGAACTTGTATGTTTAAGTCAGAGTACATGCTTGATACTGATGAGACGTCGATACACGAGCGGGTTTCGGATGCTGGGGCAAGATTTTTTTTCAGTGATCATCCTTAGCCCAGTCCCGACTCAAAACTGTCCTACTACACATATATATCGACTGGCCTGTTAGTCCAGCGGTTAGTGACCCTCGCTACTAAGCCAGAGGTTATGGGTTCAATTCCCACCTAGGGCAAATAATTTAGGAATCATGAGGACGATCATTTGTTTGTTTGGGTGTAATTTATCTATAATATTTATGTATTTATATAAACGGATTAAGAATACAAATTGTCACCACCCCAATTCATCCCGTGGGTGTCGTAAGAGCCGACTAAATGAGCAAACTAAGCAGGACAACAGCACTGCAAAGAGAAGGAAAACTTGAAACAAACCCTATACCAACCCGTCTGGCCAGCGTGGTATAGTAGGCCAAAACCTCCTTTCTAAGGAGAGGCCTATGTCCAGCAGTGGACTAGTATAGGCTGTTGATGAGTGTGATGATGTGTGATGATAAATATGTTTTTCTGGTTTCTGGATATCATAGTACAGGCTCTGCCTAGTTTGAAAAACAAAAGTACATATATGTACTCTGTCGCTTGGTAAGATTTGCCTTTAAACTGTATAATTAGGTATCTTGATACCATCTGTTAAATAAATTTTATGTTGCGTTTATTTAGTATCATGCGGATAAAACATATTTAAAAAATAAAGGTATAAACAGATACTTTTTTTTAAGGTCTTCGATGAACTTCGTAAAAAGAAGCCACAGTTTCAAGATAACGTAGTGGCAGTAGAGGGGGATGTAGCTGATATAAGACTGGGGCTTAGTGATATGGATTGGACTATGCTTGCTGAAGAGGTAAGGAGAAAAGTTACTACAAGGATCAAGGCTGGGCAAAGAACCGTGTACTACGTTGAACATTGGAAGAACATTATTAAATGAGTGTTATGGTGCGGTCGAAACACAAACACTACTCAAATTTATATCACAAATGTGGTTTATATTAGCGTACATACGATGCAACATCTCTATTTAGCCCCGTATAGCACTGGTAGTCTTTTTAAACCTTCGTGTTCGACAAATTACCATTTCCTTTTTTTTTGTCCCGTTGTATTTTTTTTTGTATTGCAGGCACCCGCCATCGCAGGGTGTTACAGCCTTCCCTAGCACCTCCAATATTTAGAATTTGGAGTCGCTGTCCATCCATATCGTTTCATTACTTTCTCGCATTTCTTATACTTCCATCCGTGTTCTTTCTCAATATCTCATACCTGGGATCTCTGCTATTTGCTACAGGGTTTCTTTATTATTTATTCATATTTTACATATTAAAATTTATAATGTTTACATTTGTTTACATATTATACTATTTTGTAGGTACTTATACAGAGAGTTTCATTTCCTTTCACATATACTTAAGCTACATATTCTACCCTTAATTTCTAGGCGATTTGCAAAATATGAACAAAATATATCCAGTAGTTTAGCCACAGGACTCATTTTTGTGTTTCGTAAATTGCAACATCATGTGTACATGCAGTCATAATACATTGACCTCAGGCGGCGATCAGCTGTAGGTATAGATCAGCGGCGCGGTAATCACACGTTGCCGCTTTTACTACACCCGAATCGAACGAAATATGTTGATTATTACGTCATCACGATGCAACACGCGTTTTTAATTAGTTCATCCAGTAAGGACAGTCAGTCGGCCCTTGGCCACCGGCGAGCTTATGCTATTCCGTATCCTTGTAGATGCGCTCACGACAAATAACCGTAATAATAATATTGTTGTTGTTTATGAGATACATATTTGTTTAGAGAAGTTTTCTTGTGGTAATAATTGTTTAGTCTTATTGCTTTCGTCATAATACACGGCAATGGTGTGAACAATTAATGTTATCGTGTGCGCAAGACTTCGTAATGTAAGGAGTCCTGCTAATTTTATTTTGAAAAGTCACTATTAGGTTCTGTGTGTAGTGTAGTGTGAAACTGAGTGCATTATCAGTCTTTTAATTTTATTGGGTTATCGATATCAACATCCATAATGCCGTGAGTGACCTTCACAGCCGCGGAATATCCTGCTATGATGTTAATTTATGGAAAACTCTATCAAAACGCATCTTTTGCTTTACGGACACGTATGGAGTCAATCGTGTATGTCCTACAGACAGAATTTTTGTAAGGGCGGTACAAAGATTACGAGACAACCAAGGTAACTACTTTTTCAAGGAGTGACGCGTACTGCTGGGTCGGAAGCTAGTCGAGCATTCACGAAATAAACACGTGAATAAAATCGCATTCTTTATAAATAGATTTTTAAAAGCAAGTGAAGTGATTGGTAGGTAGGTAATAAGAATGTAAAGTTCGCCGGCGGCGGCGTCGTTTTGATGTCGCCGACATTGCGACGCTGCCGTGTAGGTACAGTTCACCGACGCATGTTATCAATGGTGTTCTAATTCGGAAATTATTTTATTGTATTTAGTTTGTTCTAAATTTGCATTTCTGTATTTTCGTACTAATTTTTTATTTTTTTATTTTAACCGACGTATATTGAACCGTGTTATCTGTTATTTCATTTTTTGTGATATCTATACCGCCACAGTGTATAATTAATTTACTTATGACTAATATTTAAATATACTATTACATGGGAGTGGGTAATATATATTATTTCTTAAGCTATTTTGTATAATAGTTTTATACTGCACTACTTGCTATCTATATATTGCTGTTTGTTTATGATGAACAATAATAATCGTATATTATTAAGGATAGAGGAGAGGGCCACGGTTTCGGCCCCATCGTTCCAGAGGGATAAGGAGAGGCCTATGTCCAACAGTGGACTAGTATAGGTTGTTGATGATTGATGTTGATTTTGTTATCATTTATATTAATCTACCTTATTTCTATTATTGACTATTCTAACAATTTCTGTATAATATTTTAAAAATTTGTTTCTTTTATAACTAGTTATTATTTGGCAAGGATTTTCTCTTGTAACTTTTACATTTAGTTCTTGCTCTGTATTAAACCTCCTAGAGTCAAAGGCAGGGCAATCCATAATTAGGTGAGGGACAGTTTCTTGCGCATCAGGGTCACTGATGCACGATGAGTTCTCTTTACACTTGAATCGTGTCAAGTATTCAGAAAATCCACAGTGCCCCGGCAGTAGCTGTGTGGTGTATTTTCTTGCTTCGAATTTACCTATAACTCTGTACGCGTCCACTGCATTAGAGAAGAAGAGCTTTGTTACTGAAGCGGTCTCACCAGAAGCATACCTCCGATGCCATTCCTCAAGCGAGTCCATGCGGATTCTTCGCTTTGCGAAGGAGACCGGGCACCGATCATAATCTGGCCCGCTTCAATCTCAAGGCCGCCTCTTTTGCCAGCTGGTCGGCTCTCTCATTTCCCTCCATCCCGGCATGTGCTTTGATCCAATACAAATGTACAGTTTTGTTTTGGTGAAAACAAGATTTTAGGTTTTTCCTTGTTTCCACTGCTAAGGGATGGAGACAACTGGGCTTTCCAACGGTCAAGAGTGCTGCAGTTGAGTCACTGTAAATGGCAAATGCAGTTACCCTGTGTTTCAGGATCACCCTCGACGCTTCGCATATTGCCAGGAGTTTAGCCTGGTAAACTGTACAATATGATGGCAAACTAAGCTTGAGGCCACGGTTTCGGCCCCATCGTTCCAGAGGGATAATGCGGCCCCCACCCGACCCTCAATCCTACCGCCATCCGTGAAAATTGCTTGCTTTCCAAATACTCTTCCACAACCTTTTTTCGGCGAACCACCACTATGACCCGTTGTATTTCGCCAGTGTCAGTCGGTTTAAGTTTCGATCTAAGTGGCGTGCAATGGGAGAGGCCTATGTCCAGCAATGGACTGCTATAGGCTGTACCAGCTTATAACTTACCTTATCTTATGTGATATTGTTAGTAGGTCTTCATAACACATAATGTTAACTTAACTTAACTTAACAGATGTCTTCTCTCTTTTCTGTGGTGCTTATTAAAGTCTTTTTTAAATCAATAGCTTTTAAAATTATACGTCTTAACGTTTGTGTTATATACAGCAAAATTTCTCCTCTTGGGACATTATTTTATCGGGGTTGGGGCGGTGTGTCAGAACCGACACGATTCCTACCTATCGACCGAGTGCAGATATATCCCAAAGCAACTGTGCCCGGAAACCACACGGTGTGCCAATATTCGCATCAATGAGAGGAATCTGTTATTAACACCTCTGGACTCCTCCCTAACGCCTGCTCGTGTGCAATAGTGCAGAAACCACCTTCTGGTAGAACACTCTATTTGGGCGACAGAGGTGCGCGCGCCCAAATAAAACCTGCGAAACCCTATCCATTCAACAATGACCAACTGGAGTTCTGAATAACTCTGCGTCATCATTCAAAATCTCCGATAGTTATATGTAACATAAATGTCCAATATTGCCCTTGTTTGCTTCGCTTTCTTTTTCATAAAATAATCACAAAAGCAGTAACTAAAGTGAGTAGTTTTTCAGACAAAAAATATTTCTACTTTCAGGTGAATTTTATTTTCCATGTTGCAGCTACAGTCAGGTTTGATGAGCCACTCAAAGTTGCAACCCTCATTAACGTTCGTGGTCCCAGAGAAGCGCTTCAACTTGCTAAAGAGTGCAAAAATTTTAAGTAAGTTTGCTTGCAAAATGTTTTTAATAAAGTCATCGAGAGTCGAAACAAACTTGTGTCTGAAGTTGAAACTTCTTCAGCAGGGTTTAAGCTTAGGGTCGACTGAATCTGGTAAATTGTAATCCACTAAAGACAGGTTTGAGCGTTCACCGCAAAAAATGATTTCAAAAGTTGGAACACAAGTGCGAGTTGGACTCGCCCACCGAGGGTTCCGAACTTATTTGTATAAATAGTTCAAGAATCGAGTCTCCCTGTTTTGCCAAGCTTTTCCCGAAATTCAGTTTCCAAAACCTATAATTACTTAAATTGTGTTTAATAACTGAAATTATACCTCGATTACTGATTACGTACCTTAAAATAAAGACTATATTTTTATGATTTAATTAAAAATATGTAGTTTTCAGATTTTTACCTGTACTTGTAGTATAACACAATGTTATACTTGCCTTTTATAGTTCTAGGTCAACGGGCAGTACCTTATGAATTTTGATTCCTTTGACAGTGTCCAAATATGCGTTTCTTGCGGCATAAACGGTCGTTTCTTTTTTTATGTTAACTTAGAAGTTTGATTTTTTCACAGCTTCAAGGGACTGTAGACCTGACTATATGGTTTTAATTCGAGATAAAGGGTCTTGACAGACACAGGCCGGAGGTCGCAGAACGACCTCCGTCCTCCATAAGCGCAGGCCTGGGGGTGACAGGTGAGGCCATCTTTATTGGGACTAATCCCACCCACACGCCCACCACTGTAACTCCTGTACACCAGGATCCACAGCAGTGACCCACGAACACACCGAGTTATGACACTCGGGAAGTCCCAGGAAGAAATAAAACTGTCTTGGAACCCGCAACGAAATTAATCAGAAGAAAATTGGAGGAGTTGGAAATACAGTAAATCCACTTCCCTCCTTAGCAAAGCGGGCCAAGCAAGGTGAGGCCATCTGTCACCCTAGCAGAAGCAGGCCGGGGTGGCGGCGAGCGCGTTGCGAAGCGCGCTCGCTTCCAGGGAGCAGAGGGAACATGGGGTCCCCACACGGGGGGGGGTCGTCTACCTGTTGTTGTAGATGGCCCGAGGTATGTCGGGGCACCAGGGACTTTCTTTCTAGGGTATACCTGGTTCCCCGGCTATTAGTACCCGAGACGGCCGGTTTTAGTCGGTTCGAGTCCGACATGCCACCGATAGGTGGTATCCGAGGGGATTTCCGCACGGAAAAAAAAGAACAAAAAATGGCACAGATGACTTACACACTACACAGAACATAATAATATACACACAAAATAGACAGGACCCATAACAATAACTACCCGGACCCCTCACCATCACCCCTTAAGAATTTAAGGCTTAAACACCTCCTCGCTCCCGTTACACTAACATTAAAAATAATTATTATTTAGTTTTATGTGATATATTGTAACGTCATCGCTGCCTTGTATTCCAAGTTTAAATTGTCACCAATTTTTTTAAATCATCAGCATCAGCTACATGTCAATATTTTCTTTTTAGTGAAAAAGAGTTTTTAATTTCATAAAACATTAATAAGATTTCCAATAGTAATTGATTATGAATAGTAATTGGCTGCACCGATGACGCAGTGGTTTAAGCGGTCGCCACGCCACTTCCTACTACGCCTACTACTTTGTGTAATCCACAATTTCTTGTTCTGAATCTGGGTGTTCTTTGTGTCCGTTTCATGTATGTTTGTAAAGTCCCCCGCGACACAGGATATATTCCTAATGCGGGAGTTGTCTTTAAAAAAAACTTGACTTCAGACGTCAGCAGGTAACAAACATAGTCATAATCGTACGTCGATTTCATCTCTAAGTTCAACCTTATCGCTATTGTAATCTCACAAACACTTTTGTCAAAACTAATAATAATAATAATTTCACACATCTCACCAGGGCCGTCTGATCCCAAACTAGGCAGAGCCTGTACTATGGTAATCAGACTGCTGATAAACATACTTATATATTTCTAAATACATACATAATATAGATATATTACACCCAGACTCAGAACAAATGATCGTGCTCATCACACAATTATTTGTCCTGGGTGGGAATCGAACCCACGACCTCCGGCTTAGCAGTCAGGGTCACTAACCACTAGACCAACAGGCCCGTCAAAAAACTGGGAGACCTCTTTCTTTATCAACTCTACATTTCAAAATTGATATTTTACATTTTTTATATCTTTTTCCTTCTACCAGATGCTTTACTCACACTTCGACTGCATACGCTCATGCAACCATAAGCCGCATTAATGGAGATGTTGAAGAAAAGTTCTATCAATGTCCTTTTCCACCTGAAGAGTTAATCAGCATGGCTGAAACTATGGATGAGAATCAACTCTACGAAGTTGTAGCTAGGTATACCTAAGTAAAGTTAGTGAAAATCATAAATTAAGAGTCCCATGATCGTAGTTATCAGTTAAATTATAAAAACTGAAAAAAAAGCCTTTATGGAAAAACTTATCAGATGAAATAACTACAATCTGGTAATGTAATTACTTTTCAAAAGATAAAAGTTAAAGAGAATAAAAATAAGCAACAACGGTAAAAGGTTATAGAGGATATATAGCAAATAAACACATAAGAATCGTCAGCAACCGATTTTTATGTAATTACCATTATATTTATATCAGGGTAAACGTCAAACACACAATCATTTGACACCAAAAGTTTTCATCCCTTCTCAGGGAAAATAAATGAAAATTGAAATTAGAACGAAAGCAACGATCACTCCAGAACTTATAAACCATCAAAAAAGAACCTTAATTAAAGAAGTTCGGAAAAGTAGATTCTTATTATTTATTTATGATGATTCCAGTGCGATGAATGAATGGCCTAATACGTACACCTTTACTAAAGCCATAGGTGAAGAAGTGATCAGGACTTCAGGTCAGGATCTCCCTAAATGTATTGTGAAGCCCCCAGTCGGTAAGTTGAACAGCCGAATTTTACTACAGTATACTATATAGATGATGTAATAATATTTGAGAAGGAAGAAACTACCCATACTTACTAAACGTAATTTTTACTTTGATTTACGTTTCGAATATAATATGTATATACACAACGTGTTTTTCTTTTTTTGACGAATCTATAAACCACATATTCTGCACTTTACTTCTAGACGATTTACAGAAACAGGATATTTTTTTAATTTTCGTAATTTGCAACATCATGTGTAAATGCAGTCATAATACATTGACCTCAGGCGGTGATTAATTGTATACGCGGAGCGGTAATCACATGTTGCCGCTTTTACTGCACTCGAATCGAACGAAATATATTGATTATTGCGTCATCAGGATGAAGGACACGCGTTTTTAATTAGTTCACCCAGTAAGTACAGTCAGTAGGCCAGTCGGCCCTTAGCCACCGCGAATCGCTAAGTATTATGCTGTTCTGTGTCCTTGTAGATGCGCTCACGACAAGTTATCGTAATAATAATATTGTTGTTGTTCGTGAGATATTTGTTTGGAAAAGTTTTGTTGTGTTATAATTGTTTGTGTGACAATGGCGTAAACAATTAATGTTATCGTGTATTCGTGTTGTAACGAGTTCCGTTAATTTTATTTTGAATAGTGCACTAGCACTCTTTTAATTTTATTGGGTTATCGGTATCTACATCCATAATGCCGCAAGTGACTTTCACAGCCGCGGAATATCCTGACATGATGTTAATTTACCGGGAACTCTATCAAAACGCATCTTTAGCTTTAGGGATAAAGCGAGGTGTGGAATTAATCGTGGATGTCCTATAGACTACCGAATTTTTGTAAGAGCGGTACAAAGATTACGAGACAACTAAAGTACCTACTTTTTCAAGGCGTGATACGTACTGCCGGGTCCGAAGCTAGTCGAGCATTCCCGAAATAAACACGTGAATAAAATATTTAATAAATTGATTTTAAAAAGCAAGTGAAATAAGGTATTAAGTAGTAGGTAATGAGAATGTAAAGTTCGCCGGCTCATAATTTTATTCTATTTACTTTGTTCTAAATTTGTATATTTTTTTTTACACGCTTTACTCGTATATTAGCTTCACTTGTATGTATGTTTGCTTGTATGTTTGTAACCGACTCCTTTGCGCGTGATTTTGTCTGACTTTAAACGGCCAGAATTCGTTCAAACTTTGTAGTTATATCGAGGACCGATGACAATACACTAATTTAATATTAAAAACCTTGTGGTGCTTAAGTAAAATCCATTTCATTGTATGTTTCAGTTACAAGCACATACTTGGAGCCGGCACCAGGATGGATCGATTCCAATGCTTGCTTGTCATCACCAGTTGGAGTAAGTTCACAATAATTATAATTAAAAGAGAGAAAATCGCCCCACCTCGCTATAAAATATATACTCATCTACTACTTAAGTAATGTCCACAAAAACTATAAATAGCTGGAAACTATTTAAAAAGGAAGACAATACACAAGCTACAAGAAATGATGATGAATGACCTTAACGATAAAACTTAAAATAAATTTAAATATCGAAATTAATCAAAAAATAGATGTAACAATAACAGCATAATATATGTTTTGATATAGTTATATTTAAATACTATTTGCAACGTTTTAACATATGTCCTGCTCTCTTCTAAGAGTGCCGACAGGGTCCACGATGACCTAAATATGTTTATAAGCATTATAACACCTGTGTTTATAAACATTATTGCATGCAATAAAATATTGAGTCTTAAGAATATGTAACAGGAGTTTTTAAACGTCATTTACTAAATTCAACCAATTAACTCACTTTTTCATGAGTTACCCTTTGCCTTAGCGCACTACTATTTCTTTCATTTAATTATTTCATTACTTTTTAAAGTACACTTGTAACTAACATCAATTAATCACGTCATTTAGAATTGTTTCATGACTTAATATTCTTAATCATCACATCAACAGGCTTTAATAGTCCACTGCTGGACATAAGCCTCTATTTAGAAAGGAGATTTTGGCCTGCTATTCCACTCTGGCCCGACGGGTTGGTATAGGGTTTGTGTCAAGTTTTCCTTCTCTTTGCAATGCTGTTGTTCTGCATAGTTTTTCTCCCTTAGTCGGCTTTTACGACACCGAAGGGATGAATAGGGGTGTTGACACTCTGTATTCTTAATCCGTCACCACACGGACCACCATATTTAGAATGTTCACAAGTCGTTTTATATTTGAGAAGTTCAGATGTGTACTCAGAACAGGCTGTACACTAGTACACGAATCAGCTCTATATAAACTTATAAATAAATAAATATATTACTTGTATCATAATTTACAGTCTTGACTTAAATTGTATTATTATTATTCACTTTTTATGGAATAGGGAGCAAACGAGCAGACGGGTCACCTGATGGAAAACGCCTACCGCCGCCCATGAACGCCTCCAACTCAGGAGTCACAAGCGAAAAAGAGCGAACTCCTTTCTTGAAGGTTTGAGGGTCGTATCGGTTTGGAAATACCGCAGCCGATAACTTGTTCCACAGATTAGTAGTGCGAGGCAAAAAGTGTCCTGAAAATTCATGCATACAAACTAAAAAATATTTGACAGTCTAAAATGATGATAAACAAAATTTATCAGATTTGTTTCTTTTCAGTTCATGCTTGGTGCTGGTTTAGGAATTCTTCACATACATTTGATTGATAAAGATTTGATTACATGCTACGCCCCCGTGGACTTCGTGAACAACGCCATTATAGCAGCTCCTTGGGACACCGTTGAAAAGAAAGCCAATGGTGAAACAGAAGTTCCTATATACACTGTCAGCACTTCTGGATGTAAAATTAAATGGAGTAAGTATAAATGCTTTTAAGAAATACCAAGAGACCCAAATAAGAATTATTTCACCGCGGGAGAGCTATGCTACAGCTTATATGAGCCGGCTAAACCGGAGTGATACCACGGCTTTACAGAAAATCTCTGTTAAGCACTTTTTGGGTATTCACATCACACACACATTTTTGGGTATTCATTGGACGAAAATGCATATGTGCCTTTTGAGATGCAGGTGATCGTGGGCTTATCACCTATTCCATAAGAAATATATTTTCGTTTATAATATATAGTAGTATAAGGTATAGTACTCTCCTTAGAAAGGAGGTTTTGGCCTACTATACCACGCTGGCCAGACGGGTTGGTATAGGGTTTGTTTCAAGTTTTCCTTCTCTCTGCAGTGCTGTTGTCCTGTTTGTTCCCTTAGTCGTCTCTTACGACACCCACGGTATGTATAGGGGTGGTGACACTCTGTATTCTTGATCCATCACCACACGGACTGACAAACGGACAAAGGATGTAGATGATGTTGATAAAATATAATAGTACTTGTACAGAAGGACCAATAAGCGTAGTTAATGTTAAAGTCATTTAAATCAGTTGATGGCCGTTGCGATGTGCAACACCCATTTGATTGTGCCAAACCATGGATGGTTAGTGTGTACATGTAGCTGCACACTGAAAGTACAAAGCACATGCACAAAGTACATTTAGTACAGTTTGGATATATTTGGTCCCAATCACCACATCCCAATGGTTTATAGAATCAATTCTATTTCTTTATACAATTTTTTATTCTTCCCAAAACGACTCAACAACGTTTTCCTTCCAGGATTATTTAGTGATTACCTTCGTTTAGAGGAAACACTTAAGCTGGCTTCATCCGTGTCTGTCTGGTATTGTTTTGGAATCGAGACTACTAACAATTTTGTATACTGGTTATTAACATGGTTACTGCATTACATACCTGGGTATATAATAGATGGATTTGTTGATTTGCTGCGTATAAGGCCGAAAGGAATACCGCCGTATGTATTAAAGTTATTTATTCTATCTTTGACTAAGTCTCACCTTTTGCATTATGTCCACTCTAACACATTATTTAATATGCCATGAGTTTGTTTGCCGTTTCTTCTCATAAGGCTCAACCCCTTGGAAACGGGCGGTTGTAGATCGTCACAGGCATATCATAGATTTAGTATGGGTTTAATTTTTGTTAAATTTATTTGCTTGCTATTTGACAAAACAGAGATTGTTGCTTTTGTGTGTGTTGATCTATTACTTTAGAGTCTACATAAAAGACGATTTCAAACAATTTTGAAAATTTTATGAAATAAAGAGAGTTTGAGTTTGAGATTGAATACATACGGTCACGTCTTTATGTACAAAGGGTATATATATATGCTCGTGCTCATCACACAATATTTGTCCTGGGTTTTAATGGTTTCAGTGAAAACAAAGATAATGATGATTATGTACTAAAAGCTAAACAATAACTAGGTAGATCTTAGACTCCCAATATCACACCACCCTCCTCATCTATCTATGGCTTTTATCAGATCATCATCATCAACAGCCTTAAATGGTCCACTGCTGGACATAGGCGTCTCCTTAGAAAGGAGGTTTTGGCCTACTATAGCACGCTGGCCAGCCGGGTTGGTATAGGGTTTGCTTCAAGTTTTCCTTCTCTTTACAGCGCTGTCGTATTGCAGAGTTTGATCCCTCAGTTGACTCTTACGATACCCACGGAATGAATGGGGGTGGTGACACTTTATATTCATAATCAGTCACCACACGGACGGACAGACAGATTGATCAGATGCAATAAAATTTCTATCAACAGTTAACCACTCATATCTTTTTATAATATTACTTATTTATAATATCTTAGATTTAAACTCAGATTACGCTACGCCTCTTTTGCTATTTTCAAATTATTTATTATTACATAATATTTACTTTGTTATTTCACTTTTCCTGTATGTTTGATCTGTATCTATGAGCGTATCCATTCTAAAATTAGCTTACGAATTAGGAGGCAAAATATTATCATAACAAGTGCACAGTTCCGTTTCTTTAAAAAAGCTTAATTTTTTTTCAGTCTCATGAAAGTCTACAGAAAATTGTACAAAATAACCAAGGCTTACCAATATTTCTGCACTAACAACTGGAATTTCAGGGACGATAATTTGAAGGCTATGATTCAGAGAATGACTCCACAAGACCGAATTATATACAACTGTGATGTCACGACAATTAATTTCGATAATTTATTAAAGGCGTGGATTATTGGATTGCGAAAGTAAGAACTTTATTTCTCTAACACTGGGGTGGTGACACTCCGTATTCTTAATCCGTCACCAAATGGATACTATTGTTTTACTATTTTTTTGCAGGTTTATTGTAAAAGATGGGCTCCGTGGCAGCGATATTGGGTACAAAAAACAGAAATATTACTTCAAATACGCCAATATTGTCTTCATGTGTGTTTATGGATACCTCATTTATATAACTCTTACTTCTATATTTAAATTGTTAGCGTTTATAGTTCTGTTTGCGTTTTAATAAATTATTTATGCTTTGGTAACATAATTAGTTTTAATATATAAATATTGTTATTGTTCGTTTTGGTAAATTTCTTGTGGGGAACGTAGGAGACCATGCTTCAGCAGACATAGGTTAAGAGAGACTCCTGATTCTGTGGAGTGTGCTCAAAGGGCGAACTAATCCCTTTCACACTCAAATACTCTAACTCCTGGACGAAAAGTAACTTTGTCTTGAAATCTGTAACGAAATTAATGAGAAGTAAACTGGAAGAGTTTTAAATATAATAAATTCTCACTAATAAAGGGTAAGTACTATGGACCCAAAAAATATTTTATTCCTATAATATATATAACAGAATCGCCCAAACGCACGGAAATTCACCCTAGTTGCCACAAGATCCTCATAGTAAACCGCCCTAGATGTCACCCGTAAGCTATTCAACATTACAATACGTCCATTGTGCCAAATACTACATTCCCACAGGATATGGTGAGATGACTGTTCACAGAGCCAGGTGTTGATCATTGAAACAATGGTGACTCTACTCATTTCAATTAATGCAGTTTGCTCTTAAAGTTACCATTACCTATAATAAATTGAGCGGAACAGTGATCCACATCAAGGCATGTTATTGATGACTGCTCGTGATTATTGGAACGGATAGCAGCGAGCCCGAAAAATGTGTAACAAGACCTTTTCCGACATTTCTTGATATAGTTACAGCCTTGTATAATTGCAAATGTCTGCCAAAAACCTAAAGGAATTTCGTTGAATAAAAAACTGTAATAAGTTCATGCGTTCCCCAATAATAAATTGAACCGGATAATGCACATCACTGTACATAAATTTTAATATTTATGTACAGTCCTGCTATTGTAGTTAATTACTAAGGCAATTTTGTGAGGAACACTCAAATACTCCGAAATATTTTATTCCGAATTTCGATGTTCCGATTTTCAAAAGTCCTAATGTCACAATACCTAAGAATCTATCATTAAAATTCACGAAATTTATTTTACCGAAAGTCGTAAATGCGACTTGTTGGTTTACCGATTTTTATACGTTCAAAGAATGAAATGCTCGATGGGATCTCAGTCCGAAAAACAATATTCCGATTTTCATGATTTCTGATTCATCTAAATAATGTTAAGTTATAATCTATAAGTAATGTTTAATATAATTTAAAAACCGTCTAATTTTTTAGTGTTTTTCTTTGTCTTCTTCTTTGTGATTGTATACAAGTAGTAGACGTTAAATATTTACTTAAACAAATAAGTCAACTGTTAGCTACTTTTACAAATTTGTGTTTTTTAGGAAAGTGTATATCCAGACCAACTTAAAAATGCTGTAATCCGCCCTATTAACAAGTCCAGTAGCCATCTAGAATATGTTAATTATAGACCAATTGCAATATTATCACTAATAGACAAAATAGTTGAAAAAAATATTGTAGAAGAAATAATTAAATTTTGAAAATCACAGTGCAAGCTCTCCCACGCACAATATGGTTTTAGAAAAGAAAGGGACACTGTTTCTGCCCTAGTAAGCTTCACGGACTATGTAAATGAACCTTTAGACTCTGGAAAACCGTTCATAGCGCTGTTAATTGACTACAAAAAAGGGTTCGATACTCTGAATCATAACATACTAACTAAGGATGAATGTGGGATACGCGGCAAACCAATAATTGGTTTAGAAACTACTTATCTTTTTTTTTTCTTTTTTTATGCTAGAGGGGGCAAACGAGCAGACGGGTCACCTGATGGAAAGTGACTAACGCCGCCCATGAACGTCTGCAACTCAGGAGTCACAAAAGAGCTGCCGGCCTTTTAGGAAGGAGTACGTTCTTTTCTTGAAGGTCGTATCGGTCCGGAAATACCGCAGACGATAACCCGTTCCATAGATTGGTTGTGCGGAGCAAAAAGTGTCTCGAAAAGCGCACAGTAGTGGAGCGCCAACTATCCAGGTAATGAAAATGAAAATTTTGCCGTGTGGAACGTGGCGTGGCCGTGAGGCGGAAATTTGCGGCTGCTATTAGTCCAAAAGTATCATAAAGTGTTCTTACTTAGCCAAAAACGGTTTCTATTTACTAATCAAAGTGTTTTAACGCCAGACGTTGTGTAATAATCATCAGTGCAGCGCAAAAAACTTCGCTAAAGTGCAAAATTAATAACATCTGTGTTGTGTCAATTTCACCACCAAAAACGAACTATATCTAGTCAAAAACTCATAACAAAGTGCAAGGACTATATATATTGTGCTGTTGAGAGTGTTCTACGTGCCAAATTATAAGTTTCAAAGAAAAATAATCTTTCATAACCTCAATTATTCAAGCAGTGACTCAACATAACGAACTTTTCTGCTCGACAACTAGCGCCATCTATCCAATTCTGTTAGCGTTTCTAACACAACTTCCATTACGACTTCAGTGTACCCGACCGTTATCGAATCGACACAGCAAGTCAAACATCGATATTATTTCTTAGAAAAAAGAAAGAGGGCGTGGAACTTACATTACTGCGGAAGGCTAAATATATTATTGAAATCCTAACTTAAAGAAATAACAATGGATGAAGTAAAGAAGTTATTGTTGGACATGCAGAAAGAAATCAAACAACAAAAATCCGACATGTTGGATATGAAAGAAGACATAAAGAATACTATAAACAACAACATCAATGAAAAATTCAAAAACTTAGAACTAAAAAACGAACTTCTGGAGAAAAAAATAGTGGAACAAAACATATCTATCAACAACTTGGAGAGATATATACGACGTAAAAATTTAGTCATGTTTGGTGTTGAGGAACGTGAAAAATCCTATCATGAGCTTGAAAAAAATATGATTAACATAATTAATACTCACTTCAACGTTCAATACGACCACAAGAGTATTGAATCTGTTAGAAGACTCGGTAAGAAAAGCGAGAAAATTAGACCCATAATAATAACGTTTACTACAATTGGGTTGAAATTGAATATCCTAAAAAACAGTAAACGTTTAGAAAATACAGCATATTATATTAAACAAGACTATCCATTAGAAGTACTCAAAAAGCGAAAAGATTTACAAACCCAACTAATGAAAGAAAAAGAATTAGGAAAAAAAGCATTCATAAAGTACGATAAACTCATTATATTGGAAAATAAAGAACACCCCCCGACGGCTAGATACACAAACAAAAGAAATCTGTCAGAGTCACCTGAAACATCAACAGTATGCAGTCAGAAACCTGAGAATATTAAAGGACTGCCATTGAAGAAAAACAAAACAGGAGATATGAAGAAATTTATAGTACAAAAACCAAAATTAACTTACAACACTGGAAAAAACACTCAAGAACAAATACAAAACAAACAAGTAGACTCCGAATAGCAGTTATTAACGCGCCCCCCTCGAGATCTCCCAGTACGGCTAGTCACCGCGGGAGAGTCAGACTACAACCCTCCAAGGCATCAACTAAATCAACAACAGAAAAATAAGTGTGATTCAAATGTACGCTCACCCGTATCAAAGAAAAACAATCTATATATTTGTACTTTCAACGCAAAATCACTGTCATCATCAGAAAAACTTATAGAGCTAAAAGCAGCCTTACAAAACATTAATCACGACTTAGTCGGTTTGAGTGAAGTCCGTCGACTAGGTGAAGATATCATTGAAGATGAGGATTACATAATGTACTACCTGGGCAAGACCAAAGGTCTTTACGGAGTGGGCTTCCTGGTCAAGAAAAAACATAAGGAAAAAATCAAAACATTCATAGGTATATCAGAGAGAGTCTGCGTATTAGAAATAGAACTTGAAAACTTATTTTTTGCAATAATACAGGCTTATGCGCCTACAGAAAAATCACCTCAAGAAGACATAGACAATTTCTATGAAGATCTAGCGAAAGCTCACGACTCTATCTCTACAAACTATATAATCTCAATGGGAGATTTCAACGCACAGATTGGAATCCCCAAAAACCATGAGCACTCTGTTACCGGCGCATATGGTTATGGGAAGAGAAGCATTCGTGGAGAAAGACTTATTCAGTACGCATACGAATACAACCTTATAATTATTAATACTATGTTCAAGCTAAAAAATGCCAACAGATGGACATGGGTTTCTCCAGATAAAAATACTAGAAACGAAATTGATTATATCATGTCCACAAAACCTAAATTATTTTCTAAATACGAAGTATTGTCATCGTTCAGTTTCGGATCTGACCACAGACTGCTAAGAGCTACCATCAACCTGAAATCTTCAAGAAAAAGTAGACGTAACTTTTCAAAAGCAACAACAATGCTGAGATCGACGAAGGAACAAGACACATACCTTAAAAACCTAGAGCGTTATATACCAGATCTCATAAATTCAAGCGACGACTACAAATCCGACGAATACTGCCAAAAAATCATGGACTCAATTTTAACAAGTTTATCAAGCTCGAAAACAAAAGATAAGTGTAAAATCTTGTCAGTAGAGGCACTAAGGCTTATGAAAGAAAGAACCAAGTTGCAAAACAAGCCCAAACTAAATAAGTCCGATAAGGAGAATCTGAAAAAACTTTACAAACTAACAAATAAAGAAATAAAAAGATGCTACGACACTCACAGAATAAACACCATACAAAGACACCTTGAAAAATCTAGGTCCGCCAAAAAAGCATACAAGGAACTAAATAGATCAAAGAAATGGATTCCATCACTTCGACCCGGCTCCAACAATTGTAAGTCCCGAAAAGAGATTATAGACATAGCCACAAACTACTATGCACGGCTCTATAGCAAGCCGGATGCAATAACACCACTAAACCTTAACACCGAAAACAGCAAGTTCACCCCGGTGCAAGAGTTCACAGAACCAGAAATCCTAAGGCAAATTATCAAGCTGAAGTCAGAAAAATGCCCGGGACCTGACGGACTTACAAACGAATGTATCAAACTGGCTAAGACTCTCCTTCTGTCACCTATCACATTACTATGGAACAAAATATTAAACGAGGAGGTCGTGCCAAGTCTGT